CTGCAGGAATCAGAGAACGAGGGGACAGGGAGCCAACTGCATCACGGCACTGTTCCCAACAAGCAAGGCTTGGGAAGAGGTGCCTCCCCGTCAGGAAGACCACCAGCCTGTGCCTTCAACTCTGAAGCTCCTCGGGGGCCTCCCTTGCCTCTGCATCATTCATTTATTCATTCAGCAGGTATTTAGTGAGCATCTTCTATATACCAGGTTCCATTTCAAGTGCTGGGGGAACTGCAGAGAACAAAACAAAGCCTTTTTCCTCATGGGAAGATTCAGACAAGAAACACGTAAGACAAGAATGCCAGCTAGCAATAAATGTTACAAAAAATTAATAAATAAAGCAGGGGCAGATAGAAAGTAATGGGGACAGGGGAGGGGCCAAGGACAGTCAGGGTGTGACCTACCAGTTGTGAGAGAATGAACCATGCAGATATCCAGAATTTTCTAAGCAGAGAAAACAGCAGGTACAAAGGACCTGGGGTGGAAGCCCAGTTAGTATGTTTGGGGAAAAACAAAGAAGCTAGTGTGTCTTGGTTGGGGCTGGTGTGGTGTGAGCAAGAGGCAGAGGGGTAAGGCGGGAGAATGGAACACAGTGGGGCCAGAACATAGAGGGCCCTGTGCCATTATGAAGACTGTGTTTTATTCTGACAAGAAGCCAGTGATGGGCCAGAGCAGAGAACTTACAGTTTAGGAGAATTGTTTTGCTGTCATTTTGAGAAAAAAAGTGATTGCATCAGCGAGACACAGAGAGCTGGGCACCGTGGCACACACCAGGGACTCGGGAGGCTGAGGCAGGAGGAGTTCAAGGCCAGACTCAGGAACTGAGCAAGACCCTCAAAATAAAAAAAAATAAAAAGGGCTGGGAACGTAGGTGGTAAAGCATCCTGAGTTGCATCCCTAATATGGTGAGGGGCGGGGGATGTCAGGGAAGCTGGTAGGAAAGCTTCATGATAATGCAAGGGAGGCAGAAGATGGTTTGGGACAGCAATGGTTGAGGTGGGAGGAAGTGGTTAAGGGCTACCAGCTGTGCTTGGAAGGAAGAGCCAAAAGGATTGCGGATGGAGAGGGTGTCGGATGGCAGAGGAAGAAGAAACTAAGGACAGCGCCAAAGTTCAGAGCCCAAGTCCAATCAGATAGCACAGCATTACCATCTATGAAATGGGGAAGACGGACGGCAGGAGAACCAGGCTTGGAACGGAAATCAAGAGCTCAGTTTAACACATGTCAAGGTTGAGCTTCTGTCGATCCAAGTGGGGATGTGAGTGGGCAGTGGCAGGTGTGAGTTACTGAGTCATGGAGCAAGGTCAGACCCGGAGGTGAGGACAGAGAGTCATGTCCTGTAGAGGCACCTGGACCAGAAGAAAGCAAGATCACCTACTGGGTGAGGACAGAGAAGAAGCCTCAGGACAGAGCCCTGGGGCACATTCACGTGCAGAGATCAAGACATGGAAAGGGAACAGCAAAGGAGTCCAAGGCAGAGCCAGTGAGCTGCAGCAAGGACCGGGTGAGATGTGGTCCTGGGGCCAAGGGAAGAAGCCCTGCAGGCAAGAGGCAGTGGAAGACAGGCCCAGTAAGATGAGGCCTGGGAACAGATCGCCTGAGTTAGCCATAGGGGCGTCACTGAGAGCTGAGAGTCTGATTGTGGAGAGTCCTATTGATAGGGAGAGCGAGGAAGAAAATGGAGACAACTTGAATAGGCAATTATTTTGCAGAGCTTTGCTGTAAAAGGAAGGAGAAAAATAGAGAGGGATGATGAACAGGGACGGGGCTAAAGGGGGTCTTTGAGAAGGTGATCATTCAAATCCATTAGCCAGTGCCTGGGACGAAACTCTAGTGTGGAGAGTCCACGGTGCTGTAAGGACACAGAAGTTGGAGCCCATCCCTTCAGGATGCTCTCAGGCTCCTGGAGTAGATGGAATTAAAATGAGGTTTTTAAAAAACCCTTTGCATAAAACAGGTGGGTAAGTACCATGAAGACAGGGAAACACGTGCGACAGAGCACATGCCCACCTGCACATGGAGAATTCTGGAAGTAAGAGCTCTCCAAACCAGCTGGGACTCCCATCACCTAGAACGGGGTGAATTTAAAGCAGGTTTAAGAAAAAGGAACGAGACAAGATTTGGTGAAGAAACGGGGGAGGGAAAGGGGCAGAGGAAGGTGAAGAGATGGAGACCAGCTCGTCCATCAATGCTCTCTCTCAGTAAAGAGGCCACTTTCCCAGCGCCTGCATAGGCCTGGCTAGCACTTTAAGGGCTTTTTCCATAGGATCGTCTCAAGTTCTCATGAAAACAAAGTAGGGACTATGACCCCATGCGACAGATGAAGAAATCGAGGCACTCAGAAATTAAGTCTTTGCCCCAAATCCTACAGCTATCAAGGGAGGAACTCAGATTCACCACCAGGCAGTCTGATTCCAGAGAGCCCATGAGCTGGGTTAACCTCTACACTATGCTGGAGCCTTCTGGAGGCCAGCACAGAGGCACTGTCTCCCTGGCCAGGGGACTGTGCAGGCCAATGCACGCCCAGCAGCCGACTAGGCTGGGCCCTCTCCATAGCATTCTTTCAGGGTGAACCTAATGAGCCTCTTCAGCCCAGGCCACCAGGAGTCAAGGTGGAAGGAGAAAGCACAGCTGTCTGCAGCTTTCTGCCACCCCGTGCACCCCACCACCCCCCAGGAAGCATATACGGAAGTGTGCCTGCTTGTTCAGACTAACGAGAGCCAAGTGTGACCACGGGCTCGCATGCAGCTGAGCCATGAGGCTGAATGGGACGTTCTGGCTCTGCCAATGCACATGAGCATACCCCACCCTCTCTCTCGCTCTCCCTCTCTCTCTCTCTCTCTCTCTCTCTCTCTCTC